GTCTTCCAGCTTTGTTCCTTTTAAAGATTGTCTTGGTTACTTGGAGTCCTTTGAGATTCCATATGAATTTTAGAATGAGTTTTTCTATTTCTGCAAAAATGTCATTAGAATTTTGACAGGGTTACAGTGAAACTGTAGATCATTTTCATAGTATTGTCTTCCAATTCATGAAACACGAGTTGTCACTGTCCAGAGTCACACAGGTAAGAAATAATGGGACTGAATTCAGCTTTTCCCATTCTCTTTGTCTTAGTTTGTTCAAGCTGCTATACCAAAATAACCATGGACTGGGTGCCTTGCATACAATAGGAATTTGTTTCTTAGGGTCTGGAGGCTGGAAAGTTCAAGATCAAGGCGGTGGCTGATTCAGTGTCTGGTGAGGGCTTGCTTCCTGATTTACAGACGGCTTTCTTTTTGCTGTGTCCTCACATACTAGGAGGGGCAAGTGAGTGTTCTGGGGTCTCATTTCCACTTATGAGAGCTCCACCCTCATAACCTAACCACTTCCGAAAGCCCCAGCTCCATCCCATCCCATTGGGGATTAGGTTTCAACATACAAATTTCGAGGGGAATGCAAACATCCAGTCTGTAGCACTACCTCAGTGAGACAGTTTATTTTTGGCTTTCTGGTGGTTTTTGGAGACTGTTAGAAGAGAGATCCTAGGAGCATTGTTTTTATTCACACTGAACATTATGGTGGGTTGGCATATTGTGTTGGGCTCGTCTGTACTTGCAGCTTCTTCTTCCACACAGTTTAACCAAAACGATGATAGCCATTCTGAGCGGCCCCTTCTCCTGGGTGAGATTTGTGCTCCTCTGTCATGACTGAATGGACATAAAAGTTCCTAAGGGAACCAGTCGTGGAGGGTGCCCTTTTTCTACATGCCCTGGAGAAATTGAGCATTAACATACATCATAAGGTCCTGTTGAAGTTGGGCAGATGTTTTTAGACTTTTTCATTTTCTTTAAGATAAGGGGAGAGAGTGCCTGTGAGAACTAGAGTTTATTTAAGTAAAGAATACACATGGGTTCTATGCTTTTTTTTTTTGTCTTTGAAATGTACCATAACCAATTGAGTCAAAAGTCCCTTATTAGTTTGAGGGGGAATTTCTTTTCTAATAATCTGTTGTTGCTTAATTGTACCTTCATGGTAACTTTTGCAAAGTTACATAGCTTCTGCTTTCTGGATTCTGTGGTAGGAAATGGAGCTTGTTTTACTATTTCTCAAATTTAAGTCCCACTACTCATAATACTTATTTTTAGTCCTGTAAGTGACTAAGCCTCTAAAAGTCAAGGAATTCCGCTTGGTTATAACCCAGGTTAATACCCATGTGGCTCTTTACTATATTTCAGGAAAACATTTTCCCCTATCTGACATTTCAGAAAGAAAAAGATTGCTCAGCAAAATATTTTCCTAATTTCAAACCCTGATTATTTTTCCACTCAACACTTTACACAGAGAGGTAGGTACAGATGGCAGTTTGCTTGATCTGTGTAATACTCAGTCTTGGTCCTACCCCTTCCCTGAGCCCACTCTCCATTCCTGTATAAACAAAGTGGTTTCAGTAGGGTCTTAGGAAATGTCTCCAGTTTTTACCATTTGCAAACCCAAATATATGCAATCTATTAGGTCAGGTTTTTAACTCAATAAACATCTACTTTGTGTACATCACTGTTTTAAGGTAAAGGAGAATTAGAAAGCTGAGGGTAATGGCTCTGTTCCCTAGCACAGCAAGGAAGACACGATTTAGACACTTTTATTTAACTTGGGAAACTGACCAAAAATATGTGGAAGGATAGTATATGAGGGGGGAAGATCATGATATCTGTGATGTTTAATGGGCTCCGGAAAAGAAAACATATAGGGAGAAAGATGAAGTAGATACAATAAAGTCTTATTTGTTGAATCTACATGGTGAATATTTGGGTATGTATAATTTTCCTACTTTTGTATATGTTTGAAAATGTATATAATAAAAAGTAAAATAAGATAAAATTATAATTATAAAGAATGTTTATAAAATTATACAAAAATGATTTCAAGGTAACATATGGTTCATTCTCTATTACCCAAGGGTTTAGGTTGTTATCAGAGTTGGTAAGTAAGAATTAAAACAGAGGGGTGAACCCAGAGGCCCCCAGAGGTTCGTCCAGAAGGTAATACGAACGAGTGAACTGGCTGGGTACCAGACATAGGAAGTGGTGGGTGGGGGTGAGAGAGCAGGAGATTTGTAAAAATCCTTAATGTGTGTTCAGAATAAAAACAATTCTGAAGTCTGGTGGTTTGTGGTCTCCTTAAAATGACACAATTTACCATCTCTCAATCTAGCATTCTGTTCTCTTTCCTCCTTTTATCAGAAGATATAGGGGTGATTCATTCATCAAAATGAGGGAGATGGGTTCTTGCCGCTTGAGAGAGATGGGAGTGCTTTGTATTTATTGCTTCTAGAATTTGCCTCAGTTGCCATAACTTTGTAACTTCAAGAGTAGAAAAAGTGGCCCATCACTTTTCTCTGTGTTGTTCCTTCTATGATCTAGAGCAGGATTTGAGGCAGATTCCTGTGAGCCAAAGAAGCATATTCTGACAATAGATCCATGAGCCTGGGCTTTGTTTTCAGATGATTAAGAGGGCACAATTGTGATTTTTAAGGGTGACTTAAAGTGTAATTTTTTTTACTTTGAAGTTGGGTGGGCAACTTTACTTGAACACCTTAGTGTGCCTTCTAGACCTGGCAGCTTTCTTGAAATCCATCTTCCCCCAATTTTTTTTAAGGGGAAGAGTGAGGGCTTTGTATTATTCCATTTATAAAACATTTTTCAAATGACAAAGTTTTAGAAATGGTGAACAGATTACTGTTTGCTCGGGATTAAGGACGCTCCCCTAGCAATGATGAGGGAGGTGGGTGTGGTTATAAGACACAGCTCAGGAAATCCTTGTGTGATGGAATGGCTCGGGATCTGATGGTGGTGGCGGACATGTGACCCTGCACATGTGAAAAATGGAAAGAATTAAATACAGACTGCACACATGCACACACACACAAATGAGTGTAAGTGCAATAAAATGGGGACATCTGAATAAGATCTGTGGATTGTATTGATGTCAGTATTCTGGTTGTGATATTGTATTGTAGTTTTACAAGATGTTACCTTTGGGGGAAACTGAGTAAAGAGATACACAAGATCCTGTACACAGGATCTCAATAAAAATTTCCATTAAAAAATTAATTCCCATTTCTGCAAATTCCAGCCTCACCAAAAGCTGCTGTGGAGGGCAGGTCCACTGGAGTACCAGGGCTCTTTATGCTGGGATCTGCAGTGGGACAGCTGAGGGACCTCGTGCTGGCAGTGGAGTGTTGGGGGGCAAAGCAGGGGCTCGCCCAGCCCTGCATTCTGTTCTGCCAGGCAGATGAGGGTCTGAGAGCAGTGACTGGCACTCTGAGCATTCTCTGGATCGCCTGCTGGGTAGCCCATGGTACAGCCTGTCTAGGGACCAAAGAACCCTGGCGTGGGCTCCAATACCTCAGAACCAGTGAAGGCTGGACATCTTCGGTGGTTGGGAGCAGGAATGCGAAAGTGTTCCCAAGATGACTTCTGGTGTTGACTAGGTCCCCCCTGGTCAGGCCCAGCATGTGCCCACTGTCATGTTTATTTTGGTGTACCTTGCGCTGAGTTGCTGGCACTGGCGCTGGTGTGAGGTAGAGCATGGTCTGTCATAGTGCTTCTCAGAGTGTGGTGGGGGAATCCCTGAGGTCCCCAGGACCCTGCCAGAGATTCTCTCAAGTCAAAATCATTTTCACAATAATACTGAGGCACTTGCTAATTACACTCATTCTCTTATAAGTGTACAATAGAGTTTTCCAGAGGTTACATGATGTGAAAAAGCAACATATTAAATGCGTATATGAAACTCCAGCTGTTTTCTATTGAGCCAGATGTGAAAAAGACTTAGAAAAATGTAAACAAGTGTCCCTCTTTTTTGTTTTGGAAAATATAATTATTTTTTAAATATGTTAATTGCTAATATTTAATGGGATTATTATCATTTTAAAAAGATTTAATCAGTATTTAAGGATTTTCTCAGTTTAATTTTTAACATGTGAATATTGATATTAACTACATAAACCAAAGCTCTTTGAGGTCCTCAGTAATTTTTGAGAAGATAAAAGGTTGCATGAAACTTTGGCTTAACAGAATGGACTTGGCCAAAAGTTGGTGGGCTTAGTCAGGACTTGGCTGTGTGACCATGGGGAAGTCATTAACCTCTTTAATTGATTTCTTCTTCTGTAAATCCTAATAATTATCCTGTTCTATATGCCTTAAAGAAAAGTAAGATCATTCTACATGGAAGGCTTTGAAAATATAATGTCCTATGCAAATGTAAAGGAATTTAATAGTTATATGACTAAACTTTTGTTGAAAGAAAGTATGAAGAATGAAGTTTATGGTGTGTCAGCTGATATTCTGTTCACTTCTTAATTTTTTTATTTTTGCATCTCCTCCTAATAGTTTCTTTATACATTTTATTTCTTTTTCAGTTTCTCAGACAGCCATTTTAATTATTAAAAGGAATGAAGTAAATACATATTCCAAATTTTCAATCAAGAAGGGATTTATATTCCTGATGCTTTGAAGTAGTGGCACAAGGTCAGGAATTCTATCTTGGAAAAACCACTTATTGGCTATGTGACTTTAGGGCAGTTACTTAACCTCTCTGTGTCATGGACTCCTCTGTAAATGGGGCTAATAATGCCTTACTTTCTGTGGTGATATTGAGTATATAACAATGCACAGGAAGCACTTTGCCAGTGCTTGGCACATAATAGATGCTCTGTAAATGATAGCTGCTATGATGTCATTAGCATATAACAAAAGATACAAGATTAAATTTAGGTCTCTTACCAGTCTATAGTAAACTTATTATTAAGCTACTTTATTCTTAGGTTTATTAACAGTTATTTCTATTTCATTTGATTTCATCCTTTCTTTCTGCTTTAAAGGGCTATTGAGTGGCCAGACTTCCCCAACCAACACCAAACTGGAGAAACTGGATTCTCAGCAGGTGTTACAGCTCTGCCTCCGATATCAGGATCACCTCCACCAGTGTGCGGAGGCCGTTGCTTTTGATCAGAATGCTTTGGTTAAACGAATCAAAGAGGTAAGTATTGTAGGAAAATGACATTGTTGACTTGTTTTTGTGATTCCCTGTGACTCCTGAGTCCTCTTCTACCTGGGCAGTAGAGCTTTACGTGAAGTAGTCGTTTTCCACCTAAGTTTTGACATGTAGCCTCATTGCTTTGGGGGATTCTTTCTTTTATTTTTATTTTTATTTTTATTTTTATTTTTATTTTTTAAAAGTATATTTTATTGATTATGCTATTACAGTTACCCCATTTTTCCCCCTTATTCCCCTCCACCCTGTACCCTGCTTCCCACCAGCATTCTCCCCCTCTTAGTTCATGTCCATGGGTCATACATATAAGTTCTTTGGCTTCTCCATTTCCCATACTATTCTTAACCTCCCCGTGCCTATTGTACCTACCATTTATGCTTCTTGTTCCCTGTACCTTTTCCCACATTCTTTCCCCTTCCCCTCCCCACTGATAACCCTCCATGTGATCTCCATTTCTGTGATTCTGTTCCGGTTCTAGTTTGCTTAGTTTTTTTTTTTTTTAGGTTCAGTTGTTGATAGTTGTGAGTTTGTTGTCATTTGGCTGTTCATATTTTTGCTCATCTTCTATTTCTTAGTTAAGTCCCCTTAACATTTTATATAATAAGGGCTGGGTGATGATGAACTCCTTTAACTTGACCTTATCTGGGAAGCACTTTATCTGCCCATCCATTCTAAATGATAGCTTTGCTGGCTAGCATAATCTTGGATGTAGGTCCTCGCCTTTCATGACTTTGAATACTCCTTTCCAGACCCTTCTTGCCTGCAAGTTTCCTTTTTAAATCAGCTGACAGTCTTATGGGCACTCCTTTGTAGGTAACTGTCTCTTTTTCTCTTGCTGTTTTTAAGATTCTCTCCTTACCTTTAATCTTGGGTAATGTAATTATGATGTGCCTCAGGTCCAATTTCTTTGGAATACTCTGAGCTTCCTGGACTTCTTGGAAGTCTTTTTCCTTCACCAAATTGGGGAAGTTTTCCTTCCTTATTTTTTCAAATAAGCCTGGCCACCGTCTCCACCCCTCCTACCAGTCTGAAGGAATGTTTCTTCCTTAACTCTTGGTTGTCAGACTTCCATACAGTTCTATTTTCTGGCAGTTTTGGTTGTTTTTTATTTTTAAATTTGTTGTTGTCCTTCTTTTGGTTGTGGGAAGAGGCAAAGTGTATCTACCTATGCCTCCATCTTGGCTGAAAGTCCTGGGGGATTCTTTCCTAACAGCAAAATATAACGATGAAAAAGAGTAGTCCACGGAGCTAGACAAGTCTGGAGTTTGAATCCTGTTTCACCACTTATTGCTTGGGCAAGTTACTGAACTTCTCTTGGTCTCAGTTTCCTCATCTGAAAAATGGGGCTAAATGGTACTACCTACCCCAAGGGTTGAGTGAAGATTAAATTGCTCAGTTAAGTGTTAGCTCTTTTTTCTTTAATTTAAATTTTACTTTTTAATAACAATTTATATTCAATATTATTTTGAATCAGTTTTAAGTGTACAGCATAATGGTTAGCCAGTCACATACTTTACAAAGTGTTCTCCCTGTTATTTCCAGTACCCACCTGGCCCCCAAAATAGTCATTACAATATTATTAACTATATTGCCTATGCTGTACTTTACAATTACCAATTTGTACTCTGAATCCCTTTACCCTTTTCACCTGGTCCCCCAACTCCCCTTCCCTCTGGCAACCATCAGTCTGTTCTCTGTATATGAGTCTATTTTCTTTGTTTATTTATTTTGTTCTTTAGATTCCACAGGTAAATGAAATCATATGGTATTTGTCTTTCTCTGACTAACTTATTTCAAGTGTTAGCTCTAATTAGTATGTGCAAAGTCCTGCACATGTTCTCTCGTGGAAGTCTCTTATTTGGAAGAGACTGTTCAGTATGACCTTTCGTATTGTTTGGCAATGCTGTGGCCTTTCAAATGGTCTGAACTAGGTTACTGCATTATGATCTGCATAGCTGCAAGTCCCAAACATGACTAAGCATTAGAATCCCTTGGATTTTTGTTTGTTTTAATACCGAGTTCCCCTGTCCTAGCACTAGTCTAGGTAGTGTTTTGCGAACCATTGTTTTAGTAAGTTTACCAAATGATTCTGATGCCATTCTCCCTTACCTGGGATTTGGAAACCACTGATCTACAGCACTGTTTTCCAATATAAGTTCTACAAAACTAGTCCATGTAAGGAAGCTCCAGCTTTTTGCATAATCCATCACAACCTTGGAAAGTCACATGCATATTCTCTTATTTTTAAAAAGTTCATAGGAATCTTACAGTAAAGAAAATAAGCAGTATTCTAGCTTTTTGATCTCAGAACTCCTATATTAGTTAACATCTATTAACATCTTATAGAATTAGCATTTTTTAAGAAACTTTTTTGGAAAACGCTCTTGTACACATAAAGGCTTTACCATTTTTGACTATTGTGCTAGAAATTAACCATGATACTAACTTTTAGAGAGATAATTTTAGAAAAAATCAACTTTTAAATGCTTCTTATCTTCTTTTTGAGAGATCCTCTAATCTATGTCTGTCATTTTGTAGTTTAGGAAAGTGTAGTACTTCAGAAAGATTGACCAGCTCATTTTTAAAGAGCTGGATGAAGTGTTTTAGCTGGTAATAAGGTAGTAAAGACAGAGGTTCTCATTATACATTTTCAAGACTCAGAGCAGTGTTTCTTGGCCCTGAGTATGCATCAGAATCACCTGGGAACTTTTGTCCTCCCGTATATATGATGGAAAGTTTTACATGCATGCTGAAGTAGACAAATACTGGGAACCGTCATGTGCTCGGTGCCTGCCTGCTCCAGGCATCATCTCCTGTTTCATCCGTACTCCCCGTCACTTCCCCAGCCTGTCTGTTTGACGGCAAACCTCAAGCAAGCATATAATTTCATTTATAAATATTTAAGCATGTATCTTTAAAAGACTTTTTTAAAAAGACTTTTTAATTTGAATCAATTTTAGACTTAGAGAAAAAGCACATAAATAATTCAGAGAGTTCCTGTATATCCTTCACACAGCTTCCTCTAAAGGGAGCATCTTACAGAACCACACGGACCAAGATCAAAACCAGGAAATTAACACTGGTACAGTACTATTAACTAAACCAAGACCTTGTTTGAATTTCACCAGGTTTTCCACCAATGAAGAACTCCGTTTCAAAAACTCAGCCACAATGCCGTTATCATAGCTAAAATACTTAACAATAGTATCTTAATTCATTCAGTACAGCTGAGCTGCATTTAAGTAAATACTAAGGTATGGGTGTCACTCTGAACCAGATAGATTGAAATCTTTGAAGGGGGCGGGCGAGGGGTAGGAAGCCCAGCATTGGTATTTATGAAAGTGCCCTGTGACCAATGTTGAGAACCAGTGCTCTGGAACATTCATTTAAAACAATTCAGCTGAGTTGAAAAATTCTGTCTAAGGAACTTAGGGATTCACCTTGAGTCGTCAGTAGTTAACCCAGGACTGTTGGAAGCCCCTGAACAGCACTCACAATACGGAGCGGTCTCTCAGTCGTTCTCCTAGGGCGGAGGAGGTAAGTGCTGTTTCAGGGTTTGCATTGGCGACTTGTCTCTGTGGGAAAGTGCTAGCAAACTCCTGAAGCATACCTCCCTCTGTGCTCAATTCAGACCCAAAGGTTGAAATTAGTCATTTCCAAATGAGTAAAGCTGAGGATGTAGTTCTAATCAAACACCAACTCTACTATTATTCCAGATGTTTCCTTGAAGCTTGGTTGCCAGAGTGAGGAAGTAACATAATGCTGTATGTATTGAAAAGTGAGGGAACCTAATAACCATGGCGAATATGTGTTAGTGGAAGTGCAGAACCTGGATCACCCAGAGGCCTATAAAGTTACAGTGCTCGTGATCACTTAAGTTTGGGTCAAAGGGAAACATGACTATAACCGTGTGTGATTCAAATAAAAGAAAAATCAAGGAGTTGGCTAAGCTTTCCTGTTGCTAAATTTGGATACTCCTCTTGAATGACAAGTTCATGTTTTAGAAGTGTGTGTATGAGACAGAAGTAGAAGTCAGAGGTGGTCTTCCCTCATGTTCAGGGAGGGCTGTAATACACACTGACCACCAGTTTCCGCAATGGCTGCAGGATCACGACCCCTCAGTTGGCCAGCTCACACTGCTGAGCCCCTGTTGCAGACCCACTGAGTGCGAGGTCCTTTAGGGGTTACGGAGAAATGTGACTGCGTCCCTGCATGCCGAGAGTTGTCTAGGTGAGGGAACAAAGCTACACAGAACAGTAACGTGAGAGATAAGGCACTGCTGATGGAGAGTGCTCAGTTATGGCCTACAATTGAAGTTCTCTAAGTTTAAAGATCAGGCTGTCCTGGAGCAGGCGAGAGTTAAGCTAGGTCTTGAAGGAAGACCAGGGCTTGGGAAATGAATGGAGAGAACAAGAGAGCATTGCTGGCTGGGGGAACAGCTTGGCAGTCCTAGAAAAAAATTAACTCTGGGGCTTCAGGGGACAGTAAAGAAACTAAACCTGGTCAGAGCAATCTTCTCTGCGTTGACAACTGCAGAATGTTGGAGTGAGGGGCATTTGGAGACCTCCCGGTCCAGTGCCGTCATTATTTAGGTACAGAAATTGAAGTCTGTTAGAGAAAGTCATTTGTCCAGGGTCACAGAGTGAGAGAGTGGCCTTAATTATGGAACTAAGAGTGGGCGAAGATAAACGGAGGGTTCGTTTGTATTTATTTTTATTTTTTGAAGGTGGTATACTTGAGCATGTTTACAGATTAAGGGGGAAGAGACAGAAGAGATCAAAGATGAAAGATTGAGAGGGGATTCATAGAGCAAGATTCCTGAGGGAACGAGAGGAGGGTTGTTTATTTTGAGAGAAAACAAAGGATGTGGGCAAGTTTATGAAAAGAGGGCACCTGGCACAGGTCGCTCACACCTGCGGAGCCCGTGCGTTCTCTTGGAAGAAGAGGGGAGGTCATTTGTTGAGTTGACCACTGCAGAGTGGTAC